TTTAGAGTAACTAGATTTTCTGTGTGCATTTTTGAATTTAAAGGTTGCATTTGAATGTATCACAAATCTTCATGCGGTCAGTAGAACAAAGCTTGCAAGGCCTTCCTCAAGTACTGAGTTGTGTGTTTTGTCCCACCCACTTTTTATCTGCATTCTGATTGGTTAGTATTCCTGTCAGTTGTTAAACAAAGTCATCCTGGAGAGACTCTGAGTAAGTTCACATTCCCTAATGACAGTGAAGTCCTAAACAATGAGAGCTCCTTTTGTTTTTGCCTGGAGACAAAATAATTAAAATAATCTGATTGAATAACTGTAATTCTATGAATTTTTAAGAAGCATCTTGCGAACTGCAAAGTAGCGTATAAAAAAGTGAGATAAATAGACAAAAAATTAAGACAAACTACAATGGAATAGGCATTTTCTATTAAGTAATGTATTACAATTCTAAATGTAATATTTAGTACAATCTGAATTTTAGGACTTCTCTGAAGGCACTGAAGGCCTTGAGGGTTCCCCACAGGCTAATGCTACACCATATTTTAACTTAATATCTGTAAAATTCCTGGTGATGAAGCAATGTCTTTGTAAGCTAATGGCAGTTAACTGTTCATCCAGTGGTTTGAGGTATTTTGCTAACAAACAAACAAACAGGCCAACAGGTAATGTTAAGATTTAAGCAAATATGTAGCACAATGTGTTGCCCAACATATATATTAGGGATAAAACTCAGCTACTACCACATCAAATTTTGTCACAATATCTATAAATTTAGAAAAGTTATAGATCTTCTTCACTTTGTATGGTCAGTTGACTGTGGTGGCCATCTTGAAGAGTTAACATCTGCAGCTAAACAAACTCTTCACAAAGCCTAGCGGCTTTTAAAACGGGTTTTAAAAGAAGTTTAAAGTAACACATTCAGGCTGACTTCTTAGCAAAACTCCAACATTAAAACTGAAAAACACACAGGGATCTGGCATATAAACAAAGCCCAGAGCTATTCAGAAAGTGAGACATTTGGAAGACTGGGGGATCGTTAGAATGCAGACAAAACTGAGGCCCAAACATACGCGCAGATGCTGGGAGGCAGAAGCTCCAATATGTTTAACAAGGAGCGAGTAAAAGTGAAGAGCGAAGGGAAAGAATGCTTCTTGAGTGAAAGGCCATCTGCTGAATCCGTGGCTATGCCAGTGTGTTGCTAGCTCCCCATCGTTTGCACCTGCCAGCCTGCCAACGCAACCTCAAGAGGACAAAAACGCAAACTTCACACCCAAACATACACACTCGCTCGCATAAACTCGGGTGAGCTGAGCAATAATGGCACGCACACAGCAATAACCGGCGTGATTTGTCAGCAGCTTGCTGTGTCTGAGGAGCTCTGGGTGTTTTTTCATGTTTCCCTCCTGCGGTAACAATAGCATAACAGCACTTTATTAAATGAGAGCAGAAGAGAAGAGAATAGCCTGCAAATCAGCACGTTTATGAGGCATGGTTGTTCAGAGCACTGCCAGCAAAGACTGCGGGGAAAACATACGTGCCTGAGCGTGTTATATGAGGGGAAAAAAGACCATTAGGACATGTATTTAAGAACCTTCAATCAGGCTGCTCTAAATATAATCATGATTGTAGATTCAACTTCTGAAAAAGAACAAAAACATCTGTACTTTTTTTAATCCAGTTTAATGATTTTTTTAAACAGCTGGCATTTGGGAGAGAAATAGGGGGTCTTACAAATGCCTGCTGGAAAATCAATTAAAACCTGTCTGGCTCTCAGTGTCAATTTCAGTCCAATCATTGTCCACATTGAGCCGGTCACAGTGAATACATCAGACCGCCGATACATTCGTCCATGGGTAGATCTCAAAAAGCGAACAGGAAATGAAACCTGCGAGCCAAAAGAAGGGGGTTTCAAAATGAGAACGGATAGTGAAAAAGAGAATTTGACTGACAGAGGGGGGGAGGGGGGGGGGGGGGGGGCATGGACAACACGAGGGGAGATTAGTTTTAGATTCTCTCCCAGTTCCTCAAAAACCCTCAAGGATGACAGCCCTATTGCACCTAACGGAGCAATCGCCCACCCATCATCTCCCCTTACCCTTTTCTCCTCCTCTTCTAAGCACGCTCCCAATCTGAGCTTTTCATCTCTTGCTTCTTTCACCTTTGCTTTCTTTCCCCTGGCTCTTTGCCTCCCCCCCATCAATCTCCTTCAAGCCTCCACCCCCTTCCCTCTATCTTTCACAACATCTGAAAATGTGGCTCTCTAGTGGCACCATTATACTTCAGATGTACACCCCCCCCCACACACACACACCACTATGCTGCAATCCACTGCTCCCGCTGCCCTTCTAATATGTTTATTCCCCACTTGTGTCTCCTCTTACTTCTCTTCTGTCCATCTTTCACCCCCACCCCCCTCCCGCCAGAACTATCACCCTCTCTTCTTGTCTTCTCAGTGATGCAGCTTTGATCCTCACTTTATTCTCCAGTCACAAACACACTCCACCTGTACACACACACACACACACGCACACACTCACTCACAAATGGTGACAGATGTGTTCTAAGAGAAGGCAACAATCAGCGCCGCTTCCGCCCGAATGTCCGTCCGTACCCCCCAGTGGAAGAAAGATAGAGACGGAGAGGAAGAGGAGGAGAGGGAGGCTGGAAATTGATGGCAGCGCATCGACCCCCTCCGTAAAACCTAGTTAACACCTCCCCAGCCTGTGAAATCTGATTAGATGAGTGTGAGCTTGTGTTTATGTCATCGCATGTGTTCGGAACACAAAATGATTCAGAGGTTGTATTTTATTATTATTATTTATTTAGATGGACAAACATATAACCCCAACTGATTCAAAACACATTGATGTGTTCGTTTTTACCTTCAGCAAGAACTCTTTCTGTGTGTGTATGCGTGCAAGTATGTGTATGTGTGTGTGTCATCCAAAACAGTCTCTGCTGATTACATCCCAGCAAGTCAATAGTGAATAGAGCACTCAGCCTGATAAGCAATCACCGGAATCAATACTAATGTTTTTTAGTGAGTGTACACAAGTGCGCGCATGTTTGCATGCATGTGGATGTGTGTGTGTGAGTGTGTGTAACTCTGAAATGTGACTAATCTTGTTGGAACTCATGGAGGATAAACATTTGGTTACAGGTGCAGTGAAATCACAGATGTCATCCCCTTTTTCCCGCTCATGTCCATTTTTTTTCCTTCACCCAACTCCGCTCCTTTCATCTTCTCTCTTCTCAGCAATCGCTGTTCTTTTATTTTCCTCTCCCCCTCTCATCTCCTTGTCCTCCATTGGCCTTCATTGAGGCAAAGCATTAACACCCGTCTAACCTTCAAAGAGAGTGACCAAAAAACGTCTCCACGCTCCTTACATTCAGAGCAACGTAACCTTTAATCAGACTTTTGCAAATGTCAGAGATGGATGCCCTGCTTGTTCACACCCATGTGTAATCTCTCACAGACAGAGATATTTGGGAAGAGACCAGATTATAATCATATCAGTGCATGTGCTTTTTAAAGGATGAGATTTCTGCATATGGTTACTCCTAGTTTTTAAGTTTTGCTCAAAGGTCAGTAAGTTTCAGTCAAATCTTAGTTTTTGTTAACGTGCAGCTAATGAGACTAAATCTGTAATAAACTTAGACTGAAAGTGAGACTTTAAATCTTTAGAAGTGGAGCTCTATGGTTACAGTGAACCCCTAAAGTTGTGGTTCAGAGTTCACAGACAGACTCGGTCATTTGTAGATTATTCCTTAGAACCTGACTAATACTTAATAGTGGAATCCAATCGCAAAAATCCTCTACAACTTTTTCATGATTTTCTTGTAGGATAGTATATAATTATTCACCTAAAAAGCTGTAAATCCTCTGCTTATGTCACGTTTTCTGCCCCTCTTGCCATAGTTTTCTGTTTCCATGCCCTGTTTCTCTCCCCTGCTCATGTCATTATTCCACTCCGCGCCGGTCACCCTGTACCACGCCCACTCTGCTCCGCCATCGTAATCAGCTCTCGTCTCATACACCTGTTCCCCTCCCTACTTACTCCACGCTCACGCTGTGTCCTTGCCAGATTATCGAACTCTTCATGATGGTAGATGTCCAGTGTTCATGCCATAGTTTCATCTATCTGTTCTGTGTCGACCTCACGCCTGTCTCCTGGATTCTCCGCCTTGCTTGTCCCTTGCCTGATCTGGATTCTGCTCTCTGACCACGGTACCGACTATGCTTCCTATTACTACGACTACATCTCACGGATCACGATTTGGATTTGTTTTTGTATTTCTGACCCACAACTCTTGACCCTTGCCTGTATTACTGGATCTTGCCTTTGGATACTCCTTAAAACAACACTTCACATAAGCATTCCTCTCCACTGCAGTTCACTCACGGTGGATGATGCCAGCAGCTCTGAGTCACAGAAGGAGCCCCTCTCTTACCTGACTGTGAAGGTTAGTGACTGCGCAACAAAATGGATGAGCTTAAGCTATCGGTGGAGAAAAACAGACTTTTGACAAGAGACATGGATGTGTAAAGATAATCAGTTGTAGAAGTACATCCAGTGATAAAAAATAAATAAACTCAACTAGTAGATCAGCAGATACTTTGGTAACAGACAGCCACATGACCCCCCCCCCCCCACACACACACACACACACACACACACAAAACCTAAACAAGCATCTACCTAAAAATGTTTGACCAAAAAGGAAATTGATACAATACTGCTTGGGAAGTGCAGAACATAAATATAATCTAGCTTCTTTAAATTACTCTCAGCTGTGGATTTTACACACTTTTGCGTCTCAGTGTGTAAAATAAACTCCAGATGAAGTGAATTGCTCATTTTCCCCGAAAAATAAAATGACCATTCTCAAAGTTGGATTTAAATATGATAAGAGAAGAATATACATATAACCAGACTTCAAGTTCAAAATCACCTTTTTTATTTTTTTCTTCCTTTCTGCTGATGATCATGTTTGGACCTTACCTTCCGCTGACAACAAAGCAGGTCACCAGGAAGATGAGGAGGACAATTCCCCCAGCAACGGACACGACCATTATGGTGGACTGGTTTGGGTCCCCGATGGCCAAGACGTCTGCAATGTAAAAACTAAACATGAGCTTGTGAAAGCAGACGTGAATGAGGTTAGAAAGAAATCCATGATGCTTTTTTAGACAATAAAAGAAAATATGAAGTGTAGCTTAATTAAGGAGACAGAAAGTGAAGAAAGATGGAGAGAGCATGAAAAGTAATAGCAGTAGAAAATACAAAAAAGGAAAAGAAGGAAAACTGGATAAAACAGCAAAACAAGAGGAAGGAAGAAAAGGAGGTGGATGGAATAGTAAGTAAGGCCCTTAATAAAAAGCGCTCTCTCTCTTTCTGCATCACCTATGAGGCTACAAGAGTGGACGTGAAAACCATTCCCTTTCGGCTGCCCTGTCCAAATGGATATGTTAACATTGCACATAACAAGGCGACTGCTGAGAACTTTCTGCAAAGATGCATCGATTTTTACGCCACACCAATCGAGCCATTACTCAAAACAAATACCCCATTTATCTGGCTTAGCTAAGCATGAGCTGACGTGTGTGTGTGCGTGTGTGTGTGTGTGTGTGTGTGTGTTTGTGAGAGAGAGCAGGGCACATATAAATATGTATGGGTATGTATCTTGAAGAGGCTAATATATTAATGATCTAAGAAAAGCACAGATAGGTATTGATCTCCTTCTCCAGCTGGTGGCATCAACAGATACACACCTTTCTTTAACGATCAATACAACTGATTTGATTTGTTAACCTTAATGTGATTTTTACAAGCAGAACCAAACTAACCTGTTGCCTAAACAATGCTAAAAACCAAAAACGCTTATGCAGCATCAACATGCATCACATTCATCACATCTGATGCAACATGAGAAAGAAAGCCAGCTTCTTATTGACCGTTGGATGATTTGTAGGCTAATGTATGCCTTTTGTGTGCCGCACAGTGAATCTATTTTGCAGCACGACATGTTTACTGATTCACTGCACTCTCCCAGCCTGTCTAGGAATCAATGATCACTTTGAAGAGCACATTAAAGGGCCTCTAAAGCAGAAAATCCCAGAGCACAAAATGAAGCAATAATAAAGGTGGATGACAGCAAACAAATGAGAAACAGATGAGAAGTTTGACAACAGTATCAGAGAGGTTTCACATAGTACACCGTGTGCTGGTCATGTGGCTCAGAATTCTACTTTGATTCCATCTGGATTTAAAGGAGCAATCCAGCTCTTTTGAAGTGGGATACTGTGGAAAGGTTAATATCTTACCTGTTGAAGATAGTTCTTTGAACAGACTGATGAGCTAACAGCTACTTTGAGCAGAGTGAGGAAAACAATGGGTTGGTTTTAACCCAAAACATCTCTGATCTAAAACTTTATAATGCTTAATGCAAACCGTTTAACAAAATTGTTACATCGTGTCAATTTTGCAATAAACAACTATTTACAGACAGATCTCAACAATTTCCTGCGGGATCAATAAAGTTTTATTTTATCTTATCTTTAATAAATGGGGGTTCTGGGTAAAAATCTACAAAGTAGTTTTATGCATTCAGATGCAGTCATACATTGTTTTAAATCAACTTTAATTTTTCAAAAGTCAATGGCTATTCAAAATAATGGCATGTTTTCACTAAAACATTTAACACTTTCTTCATTAGAAGTCTGTATTTGGAAATAAATTGGCTTCCATGAAGAGAAAGGAAAAACTATTTTGACAAAATCTACAGTAAAGATAAATTATGTTCACGTTTTCACCAGAGAAGGAAAAGGAAAGAGCATGCCTGTGTGAGCTACTAGCTGCTCTTCTTAACTATTAATTATTACTTCTTAATTATTTGTTTGTTTTTTGGTTTAGCGCAGACTAGCATCAGCTCGTCAGTCCTGTCAGAATTAAACGCAAAAGGATATCTCTGACAGGTAAGATATTTACTGTTCTTTATATTTCTTTAAAAGATCTGGACTATACCATTGAGAAAGTTTTAGAATAAAAAAAAAAAAACAACAATTTATTTGTGCTGTTTTTGGTTAGAAAAAAAAATTACATTCTAGATTTTGCTTCACTGGTCTATCTGAATAAAGATTTCCAGTCAAGAAAACTCCTTTGACCCTTTGTTGTCATTCTGATTTGTCTCCCTGTTGTCTGATAAGTATTTCAGGGCGCCAGTGGTTCATTTTCACAGATAAAATGGCAGGCTGCCAGGGTCTTTCTGTTTGACAGCAGAACTGAAGAAGTGTTTGACTGGAAATAGGCTTAAATTACAACCACCTAGTGAATGGAGTTAGTAGTCATGAATAAGATTCATGACCACGCTTGATATAAAATGGCACCAAATGTTGCCCCTCTGTTAATCTTTAGTTAAAATTTACAGCTAACATCAACGGGACAAATAAAAATACAAGTGAATAAATGGAAAAGGAAGACTGGTTGCTCGGAGCAGCAGCAGCAGCAGAAGAAGAAACCCTCAAAGCACTAATTAAAATGAAATGTTTCATTAATCTTCAATTTACCCTCGTGGCTGGTTTCCAGCTCTATTTCTCCACCGTAGCTCCCGTAGCCCCCGTCGGTTCGAGCCCTGACCCTGAACACGTAGGTGGTCCCCGGCTTCAACCCGTCCACTGTCATCATGTTGGAGCGAGTCTTCAGAACTGTGTAGTTCTGCTCCCGCTGGTTCTGAAGGGGCGCAACAAACAAGAAAAGATCATTCAAAACTAAATGAGTGTTGGAGAAGAAAAATATTGTGGGTTTGAAAGAAGAAAAAATAAGGTGGAATATATAAAAACTCAAGAGTTTTAACCAGAACAATGAATTGTGATATTGAGAGAGATAGGATGAATAAAAAAAGGCTGACAGAAACCTTAAATTGTTGAATTTAGATTTCTCCAGGAGCCAAATGTGCCTCAATACGATTCTATTTGTTTATCACAAGACCAACTGGTTGCACTTCCATCTGCCAGGACCCAAATCTTATCGTCTTTATACTCTGGGGCAATATGTGGTTACTACTCCTGCTTCACTTCGTTCCTCAGCTTTCTTGTGAGTGTACGGATATGTGTGTATATGTGTGTGTGTGTGTCGTGAAGAACGAATACAAAATCAGTCGGTCTGTCGCTAAGCTGGTTCCCTGCAGAGAAGGTGATACTTACCTAATGGAAGACACTACAAAACGGATTAACACCATTTCACTGTTAAGATGTGCCAACACACGCACTCACACAGTCACACGCAGGTTTAATTTCATCACCTTGGCTGTGTTTTACAAGGGTTGTTCGACAGATGTGTGCTTAATTAGCTTGATGTGAGCAGCAGAGGAGACATGAGGAATACGGCTGTGAAAACAGAGAGATAGTGGCTTGTTTGTGATGAACAAGTCATTAGAGACGTGCCCTCAGGATAAACCCATATCCTGCCTGTGAGTACGTAAAGCGCAAGAGAAATAAAGAAGGAGCAAATTGCATTAAAGCTGTTAAAGTGGTACTTCAGTGATTCTGTAGGGTGCGTGAAGAAAAGTACTCATATAAAAGTTTTTTCTTTTTTTTTATTATTATAGAAGGAATTGCATTATTGCCATGAAAATATTAACACTTTGGTTTGGTTCCAAATTAGACTTTTTTTTCTCTCTAAGATCTTGACACCCATCTCCACCATCACCTTTGAGTTGGTTCGGACCAAATGAGCTTTTTGCTAATCAGCTAGTGTTTAGCTGTGGAGATGAATTGTTTCTAAGTGTTAAAACTGTGCTCCTGGTCTATAAATCCATTCATGTTGTTCTGTGTGAGACGTTGTGGACTGTAAAAATCATATGCTTAAAAAAACTGGGCTAATTTTGTCTTAAAAGATACATTTCTTTAGATGTCTAAATCTAGTTTTACAAGTCAAATAGAGGTATGCGTTTAGTCGAGATTGGTTAAATAAATACAACAAAGTAGTGACACTGGGCTCAAAGTCTGCTTTGTAAATTATTTTTATAGTTAGCTTTTAGGGCACTCAAGATCATTATAACATATCAACACATTATCAAAAAAAATCAAGTGATGAAGAAACAACAATAAAATGCATCAATGAGGTCATTCCAGTCTTAGCATGTGGCAGGAGAGGAGTGATGATCATTAATGTAGAGATTGGCATGGAAAAGCTAAGTAATAAAAAAAAACAAGTATTTTAAACTGTTAAAAATCAGGAGAGCAGCGGCGGCAGTAACATTTGCTGTCAGAGACTCCATTACAATACAAAACAAGGTCTGTGGTGTAGTTGTAACAGGAATTCATTGAAACTATTTTGGATCCCCAATTTATAACAAAATCAGGTGCCATGATTGTAAATATGACGTTACAAACAGCACCAAATTGCCTCTGATGCGTGTCCCATCGGTGTATGAATGTGATCTAAAGCACTGATTAGCCTCTATAGTATGATTAACTCAGCTTTGTAGAGATGTAGTAGAGTGCTGTATGAATGTGTGTGTGGATGGATAAATGAGGGCACAGACTGTGTTGTAAAGAACTTTGAGTATCATATTCATTCAACCTTTATTTAGACAGTTAAATCCCATTGAGCCTCGAGGACTCATTTACAAGAGAGACCTGATTTCAACAAAGAAAGATGACAACAATGGTCAACAGCAACAACAATAAACAATTATCAAAAGTCATACAGCAGATTTTTTTTTTTTTTTTTACAAATAGGATGGCTAAAAGAAAAAGGTAACAAAAAAAACAGCTAGATTCTAAGGCGAATGTAGAAAACTAAAAACAGGAACATGTCTGCGTTGGTCCCTGCCAAGAGTCCAACAGATTCTTAAAGCCACTTAGAGAGGTCAAGGTCGAGAGCTTCAAATCTTTTTGTAAGATATTCCAGGAATATCTATATCTATATAATCTATATTATAAAAAAGAAATGAGAAAATCTAGAAAATTAGATTAGAAAATCTATATATGGATAGAAAGCCACTATACAAGTACAGTCCAGTCCATTTACCATGGGATTTATTTTCTTTTACACTTGATTTTTTTCTACTTTGCAATGACGCCTGTATTCATCTAAGGCTTTTTGTTGAAAGCAATAAACAGATTTGAAGGCGGATTTGAAAACACACGTTTTGTCTTATATTTTGAAAAGTCAGAACTTATGTTTGTATTCTTCTTTCTCACCTTCTCATAGTAGATGACCTCATATTCCACTATCTCTCCGTTTGGTCTCTCTGGACCCTGCCAGGCCAAAGTCACACTGTCCTTGCTTCGTCTTTCCTTTAAGACAACGCTCACTAAAGAAAAAGGGTAAAAAAACAAGTAGAGAGTAAAGTTCAAAGAATAACAGGAAAAAATACAAACAGAAGGGATAAAGAAAGAAGTTAGAGATGGATATTAAAACAGCATTAATACCGAAACCTAAACTACACTGTGTGTGTCATATAGCTTTGCTAATGAGACAGCTTAAAAGGTGTTACATACACTACACATGTGTTAATAGCATTCTGCAAAGTGTGCACTGGTAACACACGTATGAATAGTGTGTGATCTGCCTGTGATATCAGCGTAAAAAAGACAGCAAAAAAAAACAACAAAAAAAACCCTGTGACTTCCTGCACTGTTTTTCTACATTAGGACACCTGCTTCTGTGGTATAATGATGGGTGTTTGCATGTGTGCAGAATCACCTTCACATGCATGAATCTCTGTGTGTGTGGACCCTAATGAGGTTAAAAACCTCCAACACCCCTTTCACATTATCCCCCTCCACCAGATTTTACACACCCATCAGTCGAATGAGGCCTATTACTAGGGCTGAGTACCGAAACGAGGTTCTTAAATGGCACCGACCGAACTGCACCAGTCGGTGTATGGATTGAAACGTCACTCTTTTTCAGTGTCAAGTTTCGGTATTGGCTGTAAGGTGTCACATGGTTTCAGCACACATGCAGGTAAAACGCAGACGTATAGCAAACAGACTACGTGTTTACACCCAGAGGTGTATAGAGCTGCCGCACCTAATCTATGTAGAATGTACGTCTATGGTGTTGGTGATGCCCACAGAGGAGGTTCGTGTGTGCAGCGCGTGTTGTCGAACGGCTTCGACAACACACGAGCAGAAAGTTGCTCCGTGTTTCTCTGCAAGAAGACAGATGGACATCAGCCTCCCCCCTCCTCCTCTCAGCATTAGTCAGTCTCTGTGTGTTAAACAGAATCAACATTCCATGGCCGGACTCGTCTTTATCAAAGAACTCCCGAGGACGGCTCTGTGTCTGTGTTTCAGCTGGTGAGTTTACGTTTGTTAACGTTACTGCAGCTTAACATGTACATCACGGTGAAATAACGCTAACTTTAAGATATTAGTGTGTAAATTTATTTTATCTACGTAGCTAGCTAAACTCAGAAGCTAACTAAAGATTGACAGCAACATAAATCTTAGCTTGTAAAAATGTGCTCATCCATCCAGTCAGCTGCTTCAACAGTTCACTAATGTTCAGTGTTTATGTTTCTCTTCTCCTCACAGGAGCCTCTGACCCAGATGTGAGGACAGAGACAAAAGAAAAGTGAGGTTGGGGCCACAGGACAATCACAAACTTTGTTGTTAAAAGTTTGCTGTCTTCTCTACAGTGGAGCTGCACGGTAGAGGTAAGTTAAGCTGTAAAGGATTTTGTTGACCAGTTAAGCTTTTATCTCTCAGCCTAGATAATGTTTTTTTGAGCAATAATAACACAACCATGTTATTGTTGATGTTTGTATTCTCACGTCAATTAGGGAGATGATCAGAGCCCTAAACCCCAGAGAACCACAGAGAAGATTCAGGCAGGGACACGGAGGTACAGAAGTCTGCATCAACCCTAACCTCAGTGAATCCAGTGACCTGCTGGTGGGATGTGAGGGACAATATGTCAGTGCTATCAAACTGACAACCAGGTATCTGTGTGTGCAACAATCATCATCTACAGCCTCAGAGTGAACACTTCCTACTGCTGGAGACACCATCAGCCAGGAGCGGGCTTGTTTGTGTCTAGAGAAAGCAGACATGTTGTTTCTGAAGAAAAACTGTTAAGTGAAAAGGTCCTCAGTGTGTAGCAGTGAGCATTAGACACTGACATGTCACTTGTTGTTTTCAACTGTTCTTTTGAACTGGAAATTATTTGTTTATTTTAATGTAAGAAAACTGCTTGGAATAGAAATACCAAAGTTAAAAAAATAACATTCACAATATGTACTGTAATGTGTAACGTAATTTTATTCTTGTTAGAATTAATAGTAATTACAAAATTGGTACCGAAAAAAGAACCGTCCCGGAACTGACAGCGAAGTGAAGGTACCGACACCGGTACAGATACCAATTTTTTTAGAAAGGTACCCAGCCCTATCTATTAGTCATCACACCCTGTCATGCAGACCTCTCCTGCACAGTTTCCCTGCAGTTCCACACAGTGACAGATGCACATATGAACATGCACGTGAACATACATGTGCAAGCAGAGACGTAGAGGTGTCATTTTGTGGTTTGGGCATATTTCATCATAGCAGCAAATTCGAAGTGCTATAGTAACATCATACTACTACACTTTAACCATTTCTGAAATGTATTTTTTTTCCTTTAAAAAAACTAGTATATGTGGTCAAACTTGTTCTCTATATAGTATATGATACAGCTTTTAACACCTGGGGCTTGAGGGGAGTGCATTCCCTGTATGATCTCTATATTGATGGTAGATTTGCCTCTTTTGAGTCACTGGTACAGAAGTTTAATATACACAAGTCACAGTTTTTCTGAAATGAGGTCTAACTGATTGCTTTCCTTTGCACCACTCTAAACATTTTGTGGTTAAGATTTTGGAATTAAGGTTTGATACTAAGGGGGTACTTAGCAAGACCTATAAACTGTTCAGTACATACCATGGGACCAGTTTGGACTCCCTTAAACTGAAATGGGAAATGGACCTGGAAGAATCCATATCAAACTCAGTCTGGAGAAAGATCATTAAGAACATGTACTCATCTTCAGTCTGCCTGAGACACGCTGTAATTCAATTCAAGGTAGTGCACAGGTTGCACTGGTCCAAAGACAAGTTGTCCAAGATCAAGGCCAACCTGGACCCCACATGCAATCATTGTAAACAAACTCCAGGGACACTCCTGCATACATTCTGGATCTGTCTCAAACTGTAGACTTTTTGGCTATCTATCTTTGACACCTTCCCTGGGATATGTGGAAAAACTGTACACGCATCATGAACCCACCCGTTCATCCCACTGGGGTGATCCCTGTAGAGACGTCCTTCAGCAAGTACGAGAAGAATGTGATTGCTTTAGGCTCTCTTCTGGCCAGAAGACTGTTTTTGTGCAATTTGGTGGACCCACACCCCCTAGCATATGCTCATTGGATAAGAGAGTTGATGTATCATATTCATCTAGAAAAAATAAGATATACCCTGAAGGGTTCTGTTAAAAGATTTTGGGACATGTGACAGCCTTTTATGTTGTATGTGGAAAACTTGTCAATGCCTGTTTAATTTATGTACTGTATGTGTGACTGATCTAGTGTGAGAGAGAATAGGTGGGAGGGTTTTTGTTGTTTTCTCTTCTTTGTGTTTTGTATGTTCAAAATGAAAGAAAAAAGACGGGAAAAAACAACCTTGTTCTATGTAGAAATTTACTGACAGTATTTAAACGTAAATCAAGCTAAAATCCCACTAAACCTTGTCTAAATGATCTGTCTGTGTTAAAAATGTTTTGTTTTCTACAGTAATCTTTAACTGATGGTATGATGGTTAAAAGTGACGTTACCCAGTCGCCAGTAAATGTGTCCATTCTCACCTGTCTGTGACGTTGTAACGTTTAGTACTACAGCTCCTCTGGGCGTTGGACTTAAGTCTGACACTCCATTCTGGCTCTCAATAGTGAAGCTGTAGTTGGAATCCGGCTGTAAGTCGGTGATCAACACAGAGGCTGACAACAGGCCGAATTGTCTTGGCACAAAATGGACACTGCCGCCGCACGGCGTGCACTTCTTGCCGTCACCGAAGCACTTCCTGCAGTGGAGGCTGTAGGCAATGTCCCCTCTACCCCCTGTGTCTCTGGGCGGTGACCACTCCAAGGTCACGCAGGTCTCATTCACTGTAGAGATGGGGTTTTCTGGAGCAGATGGAGGACCTGTTGGATGAAAATGATGTAGAGAAGAGAAAGTTTGTTATCAAAATTAAAAACGAAACAAGTTAAAAAAGTTTTTAATCAATAAAAAGTCTCACTGAACCTTTTGGAAAATGTTTTTTTAATAGACACAATCATCTAATTTTCTCTCCTGTCCTTACAGATTGCAGTCATCTATGTAATAAAGCCCTTGCTTTATTTTTAAACACTGTACCTTATCAAAGACTGTTTAAAAGGTAAAAACTAAGTATTTGAATCAGTGCAGTAGTATCATAGACTGAGTTCTTTATTATCTCCATTCTCTACTTTTTGGAAAACCTGCTTTACCCATAATGCACTTCCAACTACCATGCTTGCAACAAAGACCACTGATGGCCTTCGACATAGCCTTGAGTCTTTTTTTTTAATAAAGAAAACTTTATTTAGCAAAAACAAGTACAAAAAAATATGGCGATTCACAATAGTGTAACTCTAAAAAGGGCATAACAGAGGCAGACTTCAATATGAAAAAAAAGGAAAGAGAAAAAAGAAATAAAATAAACTACAAGAAGGGGTTATATGTTTTAGGGTTAGGATTAACATGCCTTAGTGGGCAATTCCATTAACATTTCATACAGGTCTTCATGCGTTTCAATATATTTAAGAGATTTCAAATATAATTGGAATTCAGATTAAAAAAATGTTAAAAACGGGATGATTTTAGCACTCTCTGTTTATGAATAAAGAATTTTGCCAGACAAAATATCAAATTACAACCGAGTTCCATTTTTTTTGTTTTCCAATAATACTCCAAATGTTACCATGTCTCTGGAAATAGATTCAGGAAGTGTAATTTTCAGTGTGATCCATCTTTCTAAGTGATTCCAGAACATTTTGGTTTTGTTGCATTCATAGAAGATATGGTTTTTTGTTTCTATATCCTGTTCTCAGAATGAGCCTCGAGTCTTTTGTCTTTAGCTGCGCTGAGTGACGAACTGCAGAGGTATGTTGAGCCAACTCCATTAAAACAGCATTTTTAATGGAGTTAAAAGAGGCAACACAAGGCAACACAATCTCTCATTTTAAATTAAATTAAATTAAATTCAGTTTATTTATATAGCACCAAGTCACAACAGAAGTCATCTCAGGGCACTAAATTGCTCTAACTGATTGTTCGAAATGATTCTGTACCTGTGAACCCCTGGGGGGTAACAAACTTGTGGTCTGCCTTGTGCATTCTCTTTTACTTGTATTGGTGGCAGAACGTGTACAGTTCACCGTTTCTTTGAGGTGGACGTCCTCTGAGTTGTGACTTCTCCACAATTAGCGTGTGAATCAAGCACCTTGTTCATGTTAGACAAGACAAATTCCTACATCTTGATTTTGATCAATGTCAAGTTTTGATTATACACTGCAGGTCCAAACTGATCAAATAAATAACACAGTCTCTTAAAATGATGAAATGTAACCTTAGAAATCCAATGTCCAGTTTGAGGTAGAGATTAAAGATTTCCGCTTATTTTTACTCTCAGCTAAGTAAAAAAAAAATTAACATTTGGATTTGTTTATGACTAAATAATCAATTCTGTTTTGTATTTTAACTTTGTTATTTCCCTGATAATGGGTACTATATTATGCTTTGCACAGTGTTAGTTATAATGTTTTTGATCAAGATTCCTTGTCATATTAATGAGAAGAGGACTCAAAATGCAGAGACTAAGGTGAGGAAGCTCAATGAAGAACAAAACTTTAGTAACAATAAAAAAGGCTGGCGAGGCTGCAAACAAAACTACAAGAAAATCCACAAGAAAACATTAGGAACTGGAGGCACACGCTTGAGTAAACTAGAGGCATGCTCCTCAGGAACACCTGATGACCTGGGGAACAGATCACATGGAGCTGGCAAACAATACACACTAACAATGATCTTGACAAACCGAACCATTTAAACTGGGAGGGGTGATTACTAGAATGAGAAGCAGGTGAGTTGATGAGCAGATGGAATCTTGTTGTGAAGGAGCTGAGAAAATCTGGGGAGCTGAACGAAACAAGCACTGCACACCATTTTCAATTTAACTGACAAAGTGGGGCATTGCTTATCAGATTTTGAACTCCAATTCAAGCTGCACATCAGCCAGGGTATCAGATTTTTTGTCATTTTTGCAAATGAATATTAACGGCAAAATAAACTTAGATTGCAATGACAAGTCACCCACAATTTACAATGATACGTCCCCCCACTAACAAATGCTTTAAAAAGAGAGAATAAATAAATACATGTTTGCCCCTCTACCTGGGCCATCACCTGGTTGACTGAAAAGGAATTTACCCATTGACAGGACAACTGGGAAACCAAACAACCTTAGAAATAGAATAAAAGGATACGGTTGGAGTTCTTCATTATTCAGGTGACAGCATCAAGCAAATACATGCAGAAAGAGATTGAGCCATTTAGAGGAAATAGTAACGCTTTAAACAGGCCATAGCAAAGACCAAGGTCAGTTACACAAACTGAATGTTGATGAATGTATCCTGTTCAACTTGAGTACTTCAAATGCTTGATTAAATTATTCATCCTTTTTATATTCTCTGTACCTATAAAATTACCATTTCACATAGTAGCCTAGAAAATGCACAATTTTACATTTTTCTGTAGTAAAACTGTTTTATTATCCACAGACTTCATTGTTTTCCTAAATCTAACAAACCCTATACTTTTAATGTCTAAATTAACCAACTAGTTCTCATATCTGACGCAACTGAAAGCCAAACAGATGAGTGAATGAATGAAAATACGATGACATTTTGGGGTCAGAGGTGTATCTTGCACATTTGTCCAATGTTTACGTCCAGGAATACTCTAATGCAAAAGGGATGCAGTCATCAATTCACACACTGGGAGCCCCAAGGTCCCGGGACCAAGTGCTAAAATATGGCAGCACTCTGCAGTACTCTACACATATTTTTATTTTTTTTGTCACAGTAAGCAGGAGAGCCAAAAGTAGCAAGCTTTGCACTTATTTTATTGGCCATCATGGTGCTCAGAGTTCTCTAAAGAGCTTTAATGACCCTCAGCAATAAAACAACCATCTCAAGGTGCTTTTCACTCAATAAATTACAGTTTTGAGCAGGCAGATGTAAAATAACATTTTTCCTTGTTTTGTTGATTTTGAAATAACACCCTAGGCTGCTGATAATGACTCTTATAGTCCCATATTTTCCGGCGTACAAGTTGCATTTATTATGCGTCACCACTGACCTGTTGTGCTTATTATGCATTTATTTAATGGCCAAAACAGTTCCAATTCACGTGAGTGGTGCCATCCATCCATCCATCCATCCATCCATCCATCCATCCATCCATCCATCCATCCATCCATCCATCCATCCATCCATCCATCCATCCATCCATCCATCCATCGTTGCCAGAGCTGCTAGCTCTCCAACATTCTTCTGCATGTACCAGCTGAGTGAAGCACACTGGAGGACTCGTTGTTGCAGTTCTTAGAAATTTAACAAGATTAACACTTAAAAACAATTATTTGTTTACTCGACATTATAGCAAAGGTGTGTCTCGGTTTAACTCTTCCTTAATAAATGCACATTAATGCTCAAAAACAGCTTCATTTCGCCTGGGCGGTGCGACACCATCCACCATCAATGCTGGAGGTGCTAGCTCTCCAGCGTTCCTCCACCTGCACCAGCTGAATGAAGCGAACGTGCATGGGAGGACTCGCTATTGCAGTTCTTAGAAATTTAAAGTGTCCACTAAAAATTGCGTTATGAATATGGGAAAAAAAAATGTATATAAGTCGTTTCGGCGTGTAAGTCACAGGACTGAAAAATCTATGCAAAAAAAAAGAAGATCTAGCTTAAGGTGTAACAAGCAGAAAAAAAATTCCAACTCATAATGTGAAGGCATGCCTATACAATGTTATTCTTGTTTCATGGGAAGCAATCAAGTGGAACTCTCTGATTTCTGTTGCTTACAGCACAGCATGGGCCAAGTATCTCAACCATAAGACATTCTTTGCAGTAGATGCCCATTTCACATGACATCTCGTCAAGATCTGACTGAGCAGTGAGCCCCAGGGTGCCACCAGCAGAGCCTGGGACTTTTTTGATTTGCTTTCCAGTATCCAGTCTTTCTAAGATGCAAGAGAGACAGGGGCAACTTAGCATGGGGGATGGAGTCTGGGTATAATTGAGGCTGTCGGTCATAAATCTGCCAACAAGGTCTGCTGCTAGCGGCTTTCTGCCTCTTTTATTTTCCCATCCCCCACCTCCCCCCACAACCACTTAACAGTCCGTCATTATCGTTGCTCCTGATCAGCCTTTCATGACACTTTTATGACACTTAGATTAGAAGACCCTGATACCCCCCCCCACCCACCCCCCACCCCTACCCCAACTACTCATTTCTTCGCCTGGGTTTCAAATGTCATTCTCCATGCCTACATGACTAATTATGTCACCTGCTCTATTTTTCAAAGTTTTCACCTTTAAACTGCGAAATTGTACACCTCGCCATTCAGAGGAGTATGTGTGTATGTGTGTGGGGTGGATGGATGGGTGGGTGTATGAGTGCATACCCATTGGAAAAGACTGTTACTCATTTCCAGCTGATAACACCTGCCACATCTCACCTGCTACGACAATTAATGAGCGTAATCTACCATAACCTGATAATGGGTTTGGGTGTAGGTGTCCATGTTTGAATGTGTGTATGTGTGTAGTATGTGTGCACTTTTGTGCATTGTGCTTCTTTCCTGATGTGCCCAACAAGGCATTGTCCTTTCCTACCTTAAAACACCATGTTCTGTCTTATTCTATGTCTCGGCTCTTCAGTCTTTTGTACTGAGCATTTTGTCGAACCCCTCAGGCCATGTAGGAGTGTGTGATATGCTAAAACACTCAAAGCAATAGAAATATCAATAACTTTCTAAAGGCATGTCAGCCATATTTGTGAAATATTTTGGCTGTACTGTATTCACACAGCTAATAGCCATGAATGTGTTTGTGTACTTTGCAGAACAGCAGCAGAAGTGGAGGTATGTGGAGGTAAACACAAGTAAACAAAAAAACATCAGGTTAATTTATGATAATAAAGTTTAAGCATCAACATGCTAACATTGCACCATTGTGAACACAAAGAGGATTACATCTATGGTGACTAATAAGATGTCCATGTGAGTGAACTTTCTGCCAGCGTTTGCATTACTCACGAGTGCAGGCCATTGAGCGTGGGTCAGAATCAGCACGATGGAAGCCTCTCTCACAAATGCACTCAGTGGCTTGTTCCTGAGGGGACGAGCTGTGAGGAGGACATTTGGTGCAGTAGGCATCTGTGGCTGAAGCTTTATAGGTTCCAGGTCTGCATGCTGGAAAATAAGAAAATAAAAGGTTTAGATGACATGCATACTTAAAAAAATCACTCTACACTGTGTTTATTCACAGTACAATTGTAAAAAGACATGTCAATATTTGACTTGACTTGCTATACATGACATTTAATCTAACGCAACATCATGGGGGTGGTAATAAGAGATTCTTTGGCAGATTGCTTAAGACATACATTCAAAGTATTGTTGAAAAATTAAATGCAAATGAAACCTTTATTACTGTTTTCACCAGGTAGATGAATTAGCAAAACTAAACAGAAGCACAGAATGTTTTTCTCCACCCATCCCACAGTAATGTTTTGTCGTTTTGAAGTGCTTGATTCAGATTCCGGGTCACGCGGTCCTGTGACTTACAAGATATACAGTAAGTCATAATAAATTGAATTTGGTTTGGTTTGATATTTTTTGTGGTCAATGAATAATTGTCACAGACCTATAGCAACTTTATGAGAATTTTAGTCTCTAAATAAATACTTGCTAACAAACAGAAGACATACATCTAATAAATAACTCCAAATCAAACAAAAATACTTTTCAGACACATTGATTCATTGTGGTGTGTCTTAATATAAATCGAGCTACTGGAACGATCCTACAAGATGTATTATTTCTACTTATCATAGATCCTTTTAAACATTACAGCCATCTACAAGAAGCTCAAATATTAGATAGAAAATAAAAACTGAACCCTAACTAGAGCTCAAACCACAGTCTATTGCTCACCGCTACATTACAGAAGACTGTGTGTACCAAGGCTTTACTAGAAGTCAAATATTCATGTTCAATCCATCCTTCATGTATTAAAGCACATTGCTGACATGTTACGAGTTCAATGGACCAACCATTGTCAGGAATGATATTTGAGAGGCACACATCATCTTGTTGATAAAAAGGGTGGATATGCTTTTCTTTCTTTGCATTTTTTATGAGTATATTTTTTCTAGATGATTTATTGGGGGAATGGAGGGGGGATCCCCCCATCATGGGGGAGTGGTGGCGCAGAGGTTAGAGAAGGTGGGCCTGTGATTGGAAGGTCGCCGGTTTGACTCCCTGGACCAATAACATCAATTGTTGGTGGAAAAAGTGGAACATCCACACCTCCCTCCACCCTCATTTGTGCCACTCTGGGCTCACTGAATTGAGAGAGCTCCTCGGATGAGGAGCGAAACGTCTCCTGTTACAAATAAAGTCCAGTTGTTTTTGTATTGAACACTTTTTGAATGCCACTCTGGGCCTTTGAGCAAGATCCTTAACTCTCACCATCTGTTCCCAAACAGGTCTCTCTTGAAAATGAGTCCTTGTGATTCAGTGAGTCATCGGGCATCTGGTAAGGATGCCCCCTGTGCGCCACCCTTGGGAGGTGCTTCGGGCATGTCCGACTGGGAGGAGACCCCGGGGAAGACCCAAGACAGGCTAGAGAGACTACGTTTCTCAGTTGGCCTGGGAACGCCTTGGGCTCCCCTGAGAAGAGCTGGAAGAGGAGGCTGTGGAAAGAGACGTCTGGGCCTCCTTGCTCAAGCTGCTGCCCCCAAGACCCGGCTTCAGAACAAGCAGAAGATAATAGATGGATGGATGGATGGATGGATGGATGGATGGACTCAGTGAGACTACATGTGTAAATGAAGGCTAAATAAATAAATAAAGAATCATGAGGTCTAATTCAGTCTGACTTTGCATTTATGGGTACAATTTTTTAGTTGGGTTATTCAGTTCTTTCTCAAATACTTTGTGACAGAAGACAGTTTTTGTGACTAATTGTTCATTAAGAGTTGTAAACTTGCTGTAATCTATTCCATCTCATTTACATCCTTGAGTCTTTGACTTCATTGTCTAAAGGTAGATGAAGGTAGATGAATGAAACTTGAGACTGTTTCTACTAACCATTTTGTGTGTCAGGAACCCCATCGCTCTAATCATGCCAAGTTAATTTTTTTCCAACTTCTTGAGGTGATAAATCGTACAAAATTCCTTGTTAGGATTTAAATTGACACTTTAAGGTTAAAATTTATTTTATTCCTGTTTATATTTTCTCTCAAAATAGTTTAAACCTCAGGTAGTCCCATGCATCAACATTTTTTTAATTGTTTTTATTTGTTAGCTTTTTATTCGAAGTGGAATTGGACACAGATGCATCATCTCTCACTTTCTTTACATTAATAAACCTAAGTGTAATTTAGTGGTTATTGAATACTTAACAGAATAATAATTTATATTAGTCAATGTTGTAAAACAGGGTGGTTATTTTTTTAAATTATACTTTAATGTTAGGCTCAATTTATCATCTTGCCTTCCTGCCACACAAATTCATTTTGTACAAAATAAAAAAAAAAACATCTTAAAGCTTGTATCTAAGTATGAAGAAGAGCAAAAAAGGCTGAACTACAAAACTGTGCTACAAAAGATTTCCTACAAACAGTGAGATGCTTCGTGCAGCACCTATGGCAAAAAGCAAGAAAACAAAGTTTGATTGAATATGTTGTGACATTAGGCCTACATAAAATCATTTTACATCAACTAAAGGTTGCACACTTCTACCGTACAATACCACAATGCAACAGCAAAATAGCTGTTATATAAGCATCTACTAGCAGTGTAACAAAAATCCATAGCCACAGTCACAGTAATGATCACAATAACTTAATATGACTGTTGCCTTTGCTGTTTCAGTGGTTGCCTATTAGTCATTATGAGAATTCATAAAACTGAGAAGGGAGACCGTGATAGCACTCAATGGGAGCAGCCTATGGAAATAGACCGGGGACTTGAATGATTCTCCTCATGCATCATAGTTAACGAGATGGAATTCTTGACTTTGCTTTTAGTAATCCGACTCTAGATTACATATGTATTTATTTATACATTTGTGTGCCCAATATTCCCATCCAGATAAGCCATTTCTCCCAGTGGTGAATGTGGTTAGTGTACAAAACTCTATGTGAGTAAAGTGAGGGTGTCGCCAATGCAATTCCATAGGTGCCTTGTGTATATTTCTGTGGATCAATGATGCGACAGATGCCACCAGGTGCTGATTACATGTTCGTGCACCAAGCGCATGTTAAGTATGCAGCAGGTGTATGAGCGTGTGTGTTTGCCTCCTGATTGCTTGTGCTGCTGGTGAAGGTCATGGATTTAATCAAGCAACTCGTCACTTCTCGTAGAAAAGCTGTAGATTATCACACAAACACACACGCTCATGTATATCCAATGCTGTTGTTAACCCAGGGATAGCGGTAGAGGGAAAGTGGCCTAGAAGTAATGCGATTTCTCTTTTTGGTTGAAAGTTCTTCCACCTGGATGTGTTACTTGCTTGCATACAGACAGTATTTTTAGGCAAATCATTCATCATAGGAAAGCAAAGTCCACTAGTACAATTCCCCAAAGACCTGAAAGAACACAGGAAAAAAAAAAAAAACGTGTGTGTGCATAGATGAAAAAGAAGCAGGAAGAACAGAAGAGAAAACAGGAAAGAAAAGGGAGTGATAATTCTCAGAGGGCTTTGTCTCTCCTCCATCCTGTCAGATTCTAAGGTATGGGGTGCTTGTGTGCTGTGCTGGTGACCATGTGTGTTCGTGTTCCTATTGGCTGCGCTGTAAGAGCATGGAGGAAAAGCAGGTTTTCTCTGGAGACCTTGCATCCGGAGAGTCCTGGCAGTCCAGCCAGAGAAGCACAAAGGATCCCGGTGCTAGAGGACAGACAGGGCACCCTCATGCCAGGCCTGGCGTCTGTACAACTGCCTGATCAAAACTTTCTGCAAGAATGGTGGCTTGGCTTGAAACGCAACCTTATTTTCCTAAACTGCTGAATCCCACTCTGCTTGTCTACCTGACGTTCACCACCATTTCCCCCCTTTTCTCTCTGAAACTCCTTCTTCCTCCTCAGTTTCTCTTGCTTTTCTTGCTTCTTTTAGAGCTACTCCCAGTTTTGGCCCCACGGGAAATGTGTTACTCGACTTGGTTCCCTTATGATTAATGATTCACCACAGATCTGAAAAAGGGACAGAAAGTCTACACTCATATACACATCAGAGACACGAGTAGTAAAACTGAGCCATCTTTAAATTTGCATGCAGTCGTCACAATTGGGGTATTTGGATTGTGTTCAATATGTGTTTTTGTTACAGTGGAGATAAAAAGCATCTTCAGATCCAGTGTCTTATTAATTATTCATCTGGTCACCAGAGAGGGTCAGTGGATTTATGCCAATCGATAGCTCTTAGATATGATATAGTACTGCTACTCAAGACATACCCCCGGTCACCAGGCACTGATTGAGAGGGGAACAAGCCAACCTCTTCCTTTGGGAAAACACAACACACATAAGCTGATTGGATTCTCTTGGTCCAGTTCCTACAATATTCCACTTATTTTGGGCCTGCGAATGTTTCTATTGACCTTGTTTTGGGTTTTGTCCTGCAACATGATAATTCCTAATCATTTTTACACATATCAACTCTACTCTCCACAACAGCAAACAGGTCTTTTCAGATTAAAAGTTTTCAAAAACATTTTAAACATTACATGTCCAGTACGTAATATAAAACAATAATTTTATATACAAAAAAGCAAAAACATTTTAACCCAGGAATCAGTAAAAATCAAACAAGGTATAAAAACCGGAATATTTAGCTGAAATTTTTTCCAATAAATTTTAGTTGTTGGACATTTAAACAAAAAATGTATCTACAAAATATCAACTTGTAATATTTGCTTGCTGACAAAAAGCGAAGTGGAATGATTATACTTGTGCTCGTGTCTGTAACAGTTTGACTAAATGACCACAAAAACCATGTAGTCTTTACTTTGCTTTTAAACATTCATAAATCACACATGATTGTGATGTGAACAGATGTGCCGGCCACGCCCCACACAGATGAGCTTTTAGAAATGAAGCGAGCATCGCTAACAGGATCCTTGTGTTTTGTGGTGTTTTGGACTTCTTGTGAAGATTGTATTTAGTTTTATCTGAGTCTGTTTTACCGG